GAAAGTGGATCAGTCTGTCGGGACAGCACGGATATCTTGACGCTGTGAGAATGCAACTTTATACATACTTGGTTGAGTCAGTTTGTAGAGACAACGTGTGCCAATGCAATGTTTGGATGAGTAGACAACGTGTGCCAATGCAATGTTTGGATGAGTCGGTCTGTACTGTAAAGGCAAAATGCGACAATGCAATGTTTGGATGAGTCGGTCTGTACTGTAAAGGCAAAATGCGACAATGCAATGTTTGGTTGAGCTGGTTTATAAAGGCAAAATGTGTCAAGGGACAATGCAATGTTTGGTTGAGTCGGTCTATAAAGGTAAAATGTGACAATGCAATGTTTGGTTGAGTCGGTCTATAAAGGCAAAATGTGACAATGCAATGTTTGGTTGAGTCAGTTTGTAGAGACATGTACCGGCGTCTGTGGTATAGAGGTTAGGTGCTCCGCTGTCTCGCTCAGGAGACCCGAATTCCATTCTTAAGTACGGAGAAATTTTTTATCAAGTATTTCGGTCTCTCCCCTGGGATGTTGTATCATTCTCAGCCCACCGCCTAAGTTACCATAACTGTGTCGTTAGGGGCGTAAAGACACCTATGTACCTTTTAAAAAGACAACATGCGACATTTCAAAGATTGTTTGAGTCCGCCTGTAGAGGCTAAGTGACAATACAATGTTTGGTTAAACCAGTTTCCAGGGGCATGTTGCAATACATGTACATGTACTATGCTTAGCTGAATCATCTGTGGCGTCGGTGGCCTAGTGGTTAGGTTCTCGGACTCGCAACCGTAAGGCCGTGGGTTCGAATTCCGTCAGGGACCCGACGTTGTGTCCTTGGGAAAGGCGCTTCACACGAATTTTCCTCACTTCACCCAGGTGGGAATGGGTACAATGTACCCGGCTATAGACAGCGAAAGATCTTGTCAGTTTGTTAATGTTTGAGCGCTTAATCAGCTGCTTGCACTGTATGCTTCCTGGGAAGCTGAGACTGAGAATGTTTCTGAGTGTTCTATGGTCTGCTGGGGTAATAATATAGTGTAAAGCGCATTGAGTCTGCTGTTGAGCGGGGATATGCGCTATACAAATGCTATTTATTTTTATTATTATTTTAATAGACATGTGTGGATACAGAGCACGCAGACCTAAAGCCGTGACTATGCAATGGGGCTGTGCTTACTACATGTAACAGACACACGTGTGTTATGATCAAAGGCTGTTGTGGTGTGGACAGAAATAAACAAACGACTTTGGTGGGACTCTACACGTAATCCAATCAGGTTTATTGCTACAACTGTACTTGTATGTCTTTGATAAATGTTTTGACTCTAAGCGGGTCTCTGGGGCACTGTTTGAGCCACATTAGGTTAATATGTTTATACCATACGTACCTGATCTTTGTTTAACACTGGCGTCTATGGTGTAGAGGTTTGGCGCTTCAGCGTGTCGCTCGCAGAAGACGAGTTCGATTCCCTTGATGGAATTTTTTTTTTAAAATCGAATTTCCGACTTTATGTGGAGACGCTGTATCCCTCTCTCTCTGCGTGGATTAGCCACGGAAGACAGGATCGAAGCAACCCGCCTCTTAAATGATCTAACTTGTGTCAACGAGAGCGTAAAACATCTACAGTGACCTGTTGTTTTGCAACGTCCTTTGCAGCTCATGTCTTTATGACTTCTCATTACAAGAACTGTCCCAGCATGATCGTCACAGATGTCGGTTTTCTAAAATTCTAGTTCTGTTTTTGGTTTGTTTGTTGGGTTGGGGGTTTTTGGGTTTTTTTTTTTTAACCCGGGCTCGTCAAGTCGCGTGGTGGCAGTGTGCTGTATGGATGTACATTGTATGTGCTTGTTTGCACTGCTTGTATTTATTGGTCTACGTGAGAAGGTCTAGCGTGAGATTTGTTGTGTGTGTTTGTTTGTTTTTTTCGTGTGTTCTTCTCAATAAACGGCGACTCTCAGGAACCTTTCAGACTTCTTGTAAATCTATTGAAGAGGAAGGACTTCCATTTTCAAAGACAGTACAATGAAACTGTTGCTTTCAGTATTTTTAGTACTTCTTTTTGTGCTTGTTTGTATGTGGTGATGTATTCGAGACTTGTGTATTTTCAGGCTTGTCTTTTTCTGTCAATCTGTCTACCTCTCTATCTTTGTCTGTCTGTCTGTCTGTCCGTCTGTTTGTCTGTCTGTCTGTCTGTCTGCTTGTCTGTCTGTCTGTCTGTCTGTCTGTCTGTTTGTCTGTCTGTCTGTCTGTCTGTCTGTCTGTCTGTCTGTCTGTCTCTCTCTCTCTCTCTCTCTCTCTCTCTCTCTCTCTCTCTGTCTCTTGTGCTCTAAAGTAAACTTTAGCCCACCTTTCGGAACTTATTTCTCGACCAACGACACACATCTGGGGTCTCCATTTTCCATTCTGCAATACATGTATTTTGGTCGCTGTGACGTCATGCGGGAAAGACGCTCTTAACTTTACTTTTTAAAAAAAAAAGAATTGGGGGAAGGGGTCCCACTTTTGTTTTTACCGGAATTTCTTGAAAGTGAACAAAACACAATATGCATAAGTTCTGGAAATGTCAAATAGTTTTGGGATGACCAGCCTCTAAACTCTAATAGATCTACATCTTCTCTGGATATTCCAATCATAGTTCATAGTTGTCCTAAACGCATGTCTCAAATAGATTAAGTAATCAACACTTAAGACGAGAAATGGGACCAGAACAGAAGTAGAATTGTGAAGAGTAGAGTCACTCTGTCAGATTTTGTATATCGCATACCGGTACCCATTGGTCGAATGGACCAGGTCAAAATAATCAGCGGGTGGTTGGTGGGTGCTCTGGTGTGGTTTGCTCCTTCTCTCCTATCAAACGTCTATCGTCTTTCTTTTTGTGTTTGTTACTCTCCTGTAACACCTCTAATCTTGGGCATTTATTTAAAGGACAAGCAGGCTAACCCATATGTCGGGGGTTTCCAGAAATCTTGACCTACACCGAAAATGGGCAATGCCGTACCTATACTAGCATCTGCGTTTGTTGCCATTTTTTTTGGTCCAAAAGTTGCCACAAAAATGGCAAAAGTGGGTGGTTGGCGGGTGCTCTGGTGTGGTTTGCTTCTTTCCTATTAAACATCTATCGTCCTTATCTCCCCTTCTTTTTTTATGTTTGTTACTCTCTTGTAACACCTCTAATCTTCTGGGGCTCATATGACCTTATGCAGTTGCGAGCGCCGTAAAACCTCTACTAAAACTAAAATGGCAAAAGTTGCCATTAATTTTCAAGCTTTCTACTCTCCGTGACGACATAATATTAATATAGCAATATGTTGCTAGAGGTAACTTAATCTAAAACTAAAACAGTAGAATTTCTTGTGCTCTGTTTTAAACATCCAGAATATCATTTGTAGCCATACAGAGTAAAAACGTGAAAACTAAAGGTTTCACAACAGAAGGAAATCAAAATTAGAATAGCAAATAAAAACCCACAAAAATTAGTAAATAAGGGCGTGTGTCAACCTATACATAGACTGGCCGTTTTGACCCTAAATGCGTGTAATTCAAGAAAAAGTACGGGGTATAACATGTAAATTATGGAATCACACACAAGGGGGCTGCCAGTGCCAGTATTCGGTTTTGGTGGAGACACGTTCTAACATAACACATTTTTTTAAAAAGGTAGGAAGAACATAACGCTATATATACACAAAAATAGAAAAACAACACTTCAGAACAATAACGAGAAGAGAAATATTAACACACCAACATTTTAAAACAAAACAAAGAGGGAAACATGAAAGAGAAACAGCTAATATAATGAGTATGTAATGTAATGTAATGTAGCCTACTTCTTATATTCTTCACAGGAAAATTACAAATCAACGTGGTGTTAACAAGTGAGAATGAGACGAAGTGAAGCGAAAGTGAAAATAAACTTTCTTTCTAAAAGTAAAGAGGTTATGTTTGTTTTTTTTCACGAATGTTATTCCCTGATTTTGTTGTTGTTTTTAAATTATTTTTTCTTCCCGGCGGTGGTTTTTTTGTTGTTGAAAAAATGCTAAAATCGTCGGGGCCGCGACAAACGCAGATGCTAGCCTATAGGAGAAGTTTGGTTTCATTGGTGTGTATATTTGTTTGGTTATAGAGAAAACTCTCCTTTTCTTTTAAAGAAATTGAACAAGGGGCAGGAACTTAACCTTCCATTTTCTCAAAACATCATTTTTCGGGATAGCCCGCTTGTGCTTAAAAGCGACCGTATGACCTTTTTGTGTTGCAAGTGCCGTAAAACTGTTACTAAAATAATTTTTTTAAAATTACATTATCAGATCGGATCGCGGCGTCTGTGATGTCGATTTTTAAATTATTTTTTTTTTGGGGGGTGGGGGGTGTAAGGACACACCTACTTAAAAAAAAAAAGAAAACAGCGTTGTATTTTACTTTTTCATTCTCTGTTGCCGTAAAGCGTCAGGCGTCAAGGGAGATAGGTTTCTATGGTAGGCATAGAGTTACCTCCTTTTAGTGTACAGCCAGAGACACTAAAATATATTTTAGTGTCTCTGGTACAGCCAGAGAGTATTAAGAGTCTCTGGTACATCTATGATGGTAGGCCAGCTCTGCAGCTCTTTTAATTGGGATCGAAAATAAGGGCGGGATCAGCGGTTTTGCTGAATGTAACTGGTGTTGAAGATAATCACTGTTTTTCGTTGCTGTTGAAGCTGCATTTTGGTTGTTGTTTGTTTTTGTTGTTTTTTCTGTTTATTCTGTGACGCTTTTGTTGCTGTGCGCCTGTCGATGTCATTATCGATTATTGCAGTGCTGATGTTATTAACTATTGTTAAATTAAATGTCTCAGTGAGTGAGACAAGTTAGAAGTCGTTGCTCTGGTTAGTTTCAGTTTGTGTGTGTTGAATGAGGAGGGAAAGGGGCGCGGGGATCTTCATGAAAAAAATGCAATACCAGTATTCTTCATGAGTTCTTCTTTAACAATTGTTCCAAGAACCCTTTGCAAGGTCT